ATTCATATATATATGATTTATTATAAAGAATTGGCTCATGTGATTATGGAAGTTGGCAAATGTCAAGATCTGCAGGATGAACTGGCAAGTTGGAGACAAAGGAAGAGAAGATTCTTGAATTCAAATCTGAATACAAGGGGAAAAAAACTCCAAAAAACCCTTGTCCCAGTTTGAAGCCTGTCAGTCAAGAAGAATTCTTCACTCTTGGGGTGGGGGATCAGTCTTTTTGTTTTATTCAAGCCAATGACTGGATAAGAGCCATCTACATTAGGTAGGGAGGGTAATCTGCCTTAGTCTACCAATTTAAATGTTACTGTCATCCAAAATCACACTCAAAGGCAGACCCAGAATAATGTTTGGCCAAATATCTGGACACTCCATGACCCAGTCAAACTAATTTTTTAAAATTAACCATTACAGAATGTGATACCTTTGGATATTTTGTAGAATGTCACCAATCAGCTTCATAGATTGCCTCCATATAACATTTAAAAATCTCATTTCCATCATGATTTGACCCAGTTTGGATGTGCATGTTTACTGAAATCCTCAAGTATTTACTAACTGTATTATATGTCTATCCATCCATGCTTGCACACATCCATTCAGTAAACACTTACTGAGTACTTGCTATATTATATGCCAGACACTGTTTTAGATGCTAAGGATACAAGAACCAAAGTCCTTGCCCTCTTACATAGCTGATGTTCTGGCAGATGGACAGTCCTTGAATACAGAGTACCTACATCCTTCTTTTGGGAGGTGTTTGGGAGGAGATATGTTTTATCTTCCAATTTTGCTTTACAAGCTCTTGGGAAAAGAGGTCATATTTAATTATTTGTGGCTCACATAAAATTTAACAGTACCCCTGTACGTAGCAGGTAGGTATCATGATATATAGATTTCTGTATCTAATTCTATATATATATGTATATGTAACATATGTATATTGGAGTTGTTAAATATATTTAATATAGTTATATATATTAGTTGACTATCAGTTTTAATTTAACCAATTCTTAGTAAAAACCTGTTTATATTTTCAATTTGTACAGCCTCTTGAGACAATGATTTTATAGATTTTTTATCACTATGTAAAATATTATTTACTTCAAAAAGTAATTTTTAAAAAAGATTACATACTACTGGTAGAAAGTTTGGAAGATACAGAAAGATAGCAAGAAAAACGTCACTATAGACATCAACAATAAGTCCATTTTGTGACCTACTTTCTGCTTTTTTAAAAAATGAATTTTTATATAATTGAGTTCAAGGTCTATATAATTTGAGTCTATATAAATGATTTCTTTCTTTATTTTAATATTATTTTTGTAATACTTCAAGAGTCTTTTCCCCTCTTTACCCAGATCTGTTCTTATAGAATTTATAGACCTTATCTGTACTATTTTAAATTTTACAGTTGTATCCTTTTAAACATCCTTTAAACTTCTGTAAAGCTTTCTCTCCACTGAATGGTCCACAAAGGTGTTTTAGTGTTTCCACAACATTAGTGAGAGAGTTTCTGGAATCAGAATGACCTGGACTGAAATTAATGTTCTGCCACTCCTTCCTAGCTATGTAATAATAGGAAAGTTTAAAAATCTATACCCTGGTTCTTTCACTGGAAAAATGAGAGTAATAACAGTACCCACCGCAAAGTGTTACCGTGAGGACTAAGGGATATAATGCATTCATTGTCAACCCAAGCAAATAATAGGCTAGGTACAGAGCAACCTCTTGATAAATGTTGGTTTAAAAAATAATCTCCTCGAATGAAGTTGACCTTTGCTTAAGAACCCAAATTGTGAAGTCATTCCAAAAATACTCTACAGTTTGGAATCGATAAAGCTTACAACCCTGCAGTCTGTTGGACGAACCAGTAGTTGTTTAGATAGGACCCGCCTTCCAGGGAAATTATCTGTGTGGGATATGTCTAATCATGTATGCTTTAGAATGCGTTCAAATCTCTAAAGCCAGTATTTAACTGGAACGACTTCCCAGAACAGCGGCCTGAGCCGCAGGGATGCTGATCCAGTAGGTCTGGCTTAGGTCTCGGAATGTGCATTTCTAACAGGTTCCGAGGTACTGCTGGTATTGCTTCTCTGGGGTCCACGTTTAAGAGAACCGTTGACATACACCTTGCAGAATATTTTGGGACCATTGGGTTACATGTCCAAGACATTTGGCTGGGTATGGAGAATTTCTAGGTCAGTAGACTTCAGTTCCCTGAAACACACACACCTGCTCACCATGACCGATAACCATGCAGAGCTCTTTCCCAAGGGAACATTATGTGAAAACACAACAGAATAAAAGGTGTAAAATAACTGGACTTACTAGAGGTCCAGATCAGGGCCAGGACCAGAATGAGGCGAGTAAGTTGACCGGGTCAGGGCAAGACATTCTAAATAATAGAACCAGGTGAGGGGAAACTGTTCAGGCTGGAGTGGAGACAGTGGGTAGGAGTTGAAAGCTCCAGTTATCTGCATCTTCCCCGAGCAGGGGCCTTCGGGAAAGCCTCAGGCAGGTCGGAGGCTGTTTACTAGCCCTTGCTCTCATCTATGAACAGAATGATGCTAGTTGGCCTCAAAGAGATGGACCCCTGGGCCTAGTTTGCACCTTGTTCCTTCTAATATATTTGCCTTTGATTTAAAAAATGTGAATGTTTACAGTGTTGTCGCAGGATTATTCCAGGGACAGTGATGGTGTCTGAGGTCTGGAGACATGACATGGAAGAAGTGGGTTTTTTGGGTAGATAAGACATACCTGAAACATGCAGATATTTTGAATCAATGTTAGAATGATGGTGGAGGGACCTCATAGGTGAGGAGGATCACACTGAGCTGGAGGACCCACAGGAAGGAAGCTTCAGGGCCCAGGGTGGACATAGGCCAGATTTTGAGTGGCTAGGATCGTGAGGTGTCCCCGGTAATGATGAACAGGATCTTCCAACGTGCTTTTTTGTCTTCTTCTTTATTATTTCTTGCTTTTCTGTTCCTGAGGCTGCATAAAAGTAGATTTGTTTTTAAATTAGGTTTTCTGAAAATTGAAATGTGTGGTAAGTGCTTGGTCCCGAGGAGACTTAAGTGATCCAGTTATGTTTTCTTATCTTTTGGTTTATGGTTCCTAAATCATTCTCTTCAACAGGTACTTATTAAACCCTAGTATGTGCCGAGTACTCTACTGTATATGCGATATGGTATTCACAGAAACAAAACAGGCATAGTTCCTTCCCTGTGGGCTCACAGATTAATAGGGAAGAAAATATTAATCAAATAACTACTCAAGTAATTACTAAAATATTTTGGTGATAAAGAAGAAAAATGCAATGAGGACATTCTCGATTGTATTTCTTCTAATTCCAGTTCTTCTTAATAAAGGTAATTGATCCACCAACGAGGGCTTGGATTTCTTTCACAGACCCCTTTTTCAGGTTTAAGAGGGAATCTTAATTTCTTTAACAGGTAATATGGCTCTTCTCACTCTTTCTAGAATTGTTAACACCTTCACTAAAGTGTATTCCTGCTCTACAAAGGTCATGAGCTTTAGATTCAGGTGGATATAGTTTTACATCATGGAGTGACATTTCTGAATTTGTTTCCTTGTTTGTGAAATTAATCATACAATGTATATCAAGTACTTATTATAGTCTTGGCATATAGTAGCTGCTCAATGAAAGACAGCTGGGATTCCTAGTATTGATTGTAGCAACAGGGTTTTGTACCCCGGGGCAGGCATCGATCCCGAGGTCCAGGGTGCCAGAAGGAGAGGAATTCCTACAGAATGAGAAAGGGAACCCCTAGAAGAGAGACTTCACTGTTTAATTCGCCTGAATGGATTCAGTGTGTGACTCTTCTGTTTCTCCTCGTTCATATTGGAAATCCTGATTAGGTGAACATGACTTTGCTTTTGGAACAGGTGCTGATGTCTACTTCAGACACTGTGTGACCCAGATCAACCTGCGAAATGACAAGTGGGAAGTCTCCAAGGAAACAGGTCCCCCCGAGCTGTTTGACATTGTTGTCCTCACAATGCCAGTTCCTCAGATTCTGCAGCTTCAAGGTGACGTCGCAAACTGTGAGTCCCGGCCTGCACCATCCACCTCAGAGAGCAGGGTTCCTCTCGTGGGGGGTTCACTGTGAGTCCTGGCCTGCGCCGTCCACCTCAGAGAGCGGGGTTCCTCTCGTGGGGGGTTCACTGTGAGTCCCGGCCTGCGCCGTCCACCTCAGAGAGCGGGGTTCCTCTTGTGGGGGGTTCACTGTGAGTCCCGGCCTGCGCCGTCCACCTCAGAGAGCGGGGTTCCTCTCGTGGAGTGTGAATTCAGTATAACTCTCTTAGCATACGGTATATTGTGGATTCTATTGATTTGCATGTTTTAAAAACTGATACTATGGCCTTGTTCGTGATATTAGTCTATGTCAAACTGAAACCCATGGAATTTGTTTTAACCAGTAAAAACTTGAACATTTTTCTTACTGCCCTTGCCTTTAAGAAATAAATGTTTTTGATGGACATGCAGTTGCTTGGCCTAAGAGAAGAGCAGTCTCTTGGTAGACATTCTGGAGATAAGAAGATTTTTATGATACAAGAATTAATTACATCGGGCACATGGGTGGCTCAGTCGGTTAAGCGTCTGCCTTCGGCTCAGGTCATGACCTCAGAGTCCTGGGATCGAGTCCCACATTGGGCGCCCTGCTCAGCGGAAATCCTCCCTCTGCCCCTCCCCCTGCTTATGCTCTCTCTCTCTCTCTCTCTCATTCACTCACTCTCTCAAATAAATAAAATCTTAAAAAGAAAAGTGAAGAATTGATTACATCAACCCCTGGCAAACCTCATCTTGGATTGCTCTTGAGTGTGAATTTCATGTTCTTGCCTGGGCTTGGGACTTGTTGGAGCACCTTTTACCTGGCTTCTTCCCCTCCTTTTTAAATTTTATTCTTATTTTTATTTTTTTTTAGATTTTATTTACTTATTTGAGAGGGGGAGAGAGAGAGAAAGAGAAAGTGAGTGGGAGGGAGAGGGAGAGATAATCTGAAGTAGACTCCACGCTGAGTGCAAAGCCTGACGCGGGGCTTGATCTCATGACCTTGAGATCATGACCTGATTCGAAACCAAGAGTCGGGCACTCAAATGACCGGACCACCCAGGTGCCCCCTCTCCCTCCTTCTTTTTTTTTTTTACAAACAACTTTGAGATATAATTCACAGACCATACAATTCATCTATTTAAAGTGTACATTTCCATGGTATTGGGTATACTTACCTATATATGCGATCATCACCACAGTCAACTTAGGAACATTTTCATCACCTTGAAAAGAAACCCCATATCCTAAAGCATTCGACTCCATCCCTCTATCTCTATCTGTATCTCCGTCCTGGCTCTAAGCAAACAGTAATCTACTTTGTGTCTTGATAGATTTCCCTATTTCCTGGATTCTTAAGAAAAGCTGTTCTGTGGCTCTGCCTCCCTGACTTTTCCCTGTCTTCCATCATGTCTGGCTGAGCCTGACACAGCAAAGTCATTGACTTCTAAAAAATACTCAGCTTGCCTTGAAGATTTCCTTTTGCTCCCTTCCTTGAGCTCTTGCTTTGGAGAGATCATATATTCCTTTACTGTTTTCAGGTCATTGCCTCAGTGTTTGTTGGACTAATCTGCTTCCAGCCAAATTTTTCTGAAATGTATTTTTCATCAGCTCATTTGTTAGTTCTGTTACATTCTGTTGTCTTCCTTATTTTGTCTGCATCGGTCCCTCTCTGATTATTACCCATATTTCCACGGCGCTATTTCTGTCGACTTCATGAAGAATAGTGTTGTCAGAAAAGGCCAGACATTTCAGTAAAAGTATGTTGCTAGTGATCATAACGATTGGATGCTACTGATCATTAATATAATAATATTTTTATTAACATGGAAAGATGCCACAATATTTTTTTTTTTAAAGATTTTATCTATTTATTTGAGAGAGAGAGAATGAGAGACAGAGAGCATGAGAGGGAGGAGGGTCAGAGGGAGAAGCAGACTCCCTGCCGAGCAGGGAGCCCGATGCGGGACTCGATCCCAGGACTCCAGGATCATGACCTGAGCCGAAGGCAGTCACTTAACCAACTGAGCCACCCAGGCGCCCCCACAATATTTTTAAATTAGAAAAGGTGTGTAGATGCATCTGTGTTTCTTTTCCATCTACCAAAAATAGTTTGACAGAAACATATTGTTATTGCTTGAAGATGATTTTCATTTTCTTCCTTATAATTTTTTGCATAGTCATAACTTTAAAAATAAGGAGAATTTACTTTGACTATAAAAAATGATACTGTTGACACCATTTAAAAAAATATCTGAAAAGGAAATAGAACTTTTCTCCTTTTCCTTTTTATTGGAGGTGTATGGTGGGATATGTAGGCTCTTTATGATGAAAACATTTACAAGGGACACCTGGGTGGCTCAGTCAGTTAAGCATCTGCCTTTGGCTCAGGTCATGGTCCCAGGGTCCTGGGATCGAGCCCCACATTGGGCCTCTGCTCAGCGGGGTGTCTCCTTCCCCTCTCCCCCACCCCTCCCCTCACTCATGCTCTCTCTCTCAAATAAATAAATAAAATCTTAAAAAAAATAAAACATTTACAAATTATTGACTTGGTACGCTTTACTGAGGGTAAGGGTCTTTGGGTTCAAATCAGAATTGGACCCCATGCAAATAAGTCTGTGTTTAGTTCACTGTTATGAAGGAAGCCACCCTGGCCATAAAGGGTTAAAACAAAATGTCCAACAATAACCCTTTACCACCTATGGGTCTAAAACAAAGGGATTATTTATTTATTTATTTATTTGAGTGGGGGAGAGAGAGTGCAAGCGGAGGGGCAGAGGGAGAGGGAGAGGATCTCAAGCAGACTCCCCACTCAGCCCAGAGCCCGATGGGCTGAGATCATGATCTGAGCCGAAATCAAGAGTCAGACACTCAACCAACTGAGCCACCCAGGCACCCCTAAAACAAAGGGATTAAAAACATCTGCTTTCTCTTTAAATTATAAATCTCAACACTGAGCTCAGTATGAGGATTGTTAATGTCTTCTGTCTGTGTTTTCCGGAGAGACTTGGATACGTGCTTGTTTGATTATTACGGGGTTACATCATAGGTCCCTTGAGGAAGACCTCCATCTACAAAGCCACGTGCTGCCACCTCGTGGACACTCTGTGTATTGCAGTTCTCAGAATTTTTAAACTAGAGCGGACTCTGAAGATGAGGCAATACCGAATATACATAAAACTGTGACTATAATTCACAAAACCCCACAGTGTCACAGGGAAATAAACTTAGGCCCACGATAACTGACTAACCTACCCAGAAGTGTATAGCTAGTCAGTGACAGGCCTTGCCTTCCTACAAACTGTGAGCAGCCCCGAGCCTTTGCTTTCTTTGCATTTCCTTCTCACTCCGTCCTGCTTTTAAATCATGTCTGCGCTCTTGGATCAGTACAAATACCATCTCTTTTTTTTTTTTTTTTAAGATTTTATTTATTTATTCATGAGAGACAGAGAGAGAGAGGGGCAGAGGGAGAAGCAGGCTCCCAAGGAGCAGAGAGCCCGATGCGGGGCTCAAACCCAGGACCCTTCGAAACCAAGAGTCGGGCACTCAAATGACTGGACCACCCAGGTGCCCCCTCTCCCTCCTTCTTTTTTTTTTTTACAAACAACTTTGAGATATAATTCACAGACCATACAATTCATCTATTTAAAGTGTACATTTCCATGGTATTGGGTATACTTACCTATATATGCGATCATCACCACAGTCAACTTAGGAACATTTTCATCACCTTGAAAAGAAACCCCATATCCTAAAGCATTCGACTCCATCCCTCTATCTCTATCTGTATCTCCGTCCTGGCTCTAAGCAAACAGTAATCTACTTTGTGTCTTGATAGATTTCCCTATTTCCTGGATTCTTAAGAAAAGCTGTTCTGTGGCTCTGCCTCCCTGACTTTTCCCTGTCTTCCATCATGTCTGGCTGAGCCTGACACAGCAAAGTCATTGACTTCTAAAAAATACTCAGCTTGCCTTGAAGATTTCCTTTTGCTCCCTTCCTTGAGCTCTTGCTTTGGAGAGATCATATATTCCTTTACTGTTTTCAGGTCATTGCCTCAGTGTTTGTTGGACTAATCTGCTTCCAGCCAAATTTTTCTGAAATGTATTTTTCATCAGCTCATTTGTTAGTTCTGTTACGTTCTGTTGTCTTCCTTATTTTGTCTGCATCGGTCCCTCTCTGATTATTACCCATATTTCCACGGCGCTATTTCTGTCGACTTCATGAAGAATAGTGTTGTCAGAAAAGGCCAGACATTTCAGTAAAAGTATGTTGCTAGTGATCATAACGATTGGATGCTACTGATCATTAATATAATAATATTTTTATTAACATGGAAAGAT